TTTTAAGATAGTTCAGATAGGCGTGCCTGGGTGGCTCATTTGGTTAAGTGTCAGACTTCAGCTCAGGTCATGATCTCACAGTTCGTGAGTTTGAACCCCACATTGGGCTCTCTGCTGTCAGCACAGAGCTTGCTTTGGATCCTCTGCCCCCCTCTCTCTGCCCCTCTCCTGCTTGCGTGTGCATGCGCTCTCTCTCACTCTCTTAAAACTAAATAAACATTGAAAAAAACGACTTTCAGAAGTGTGCTGAAGATGAAAAGTATGCCGCCCCTTGAATCACGCGCACAAGTACAGCATGGCAGCGGCCCCTTCTGTAGTTCCTGGCATGGTTCTCATAGGCCTTGAACTTCAGAAAAGTTTGTTTTGTTTTGATTTCTGTGTTTCGCTTTTTTTTTTTCTTTCTGTCAGGAAAACAATATCCTGGATATCAGGAATCAGGAAAAAACTTTATTCTGGGTTTTAAACTTGCTTAAATATGTGGCTTATGGGTTTTCCTTGGGTTTTTGAGTAACACAAGTAGTAAGATACTATTCAGGAGTGCTTCAGGAATAGGGTCCCATAATATCCAAATGAGGTTTCAAGAAACAGTTATGGTTATTATTTTGGTTAATGCCAGGGTTAGTTATTCTACTTGAAATATTCTTGACACAGCAAACTCAATTTTTCTTTCTCACTTTGAATTCATTTATTCATCCTTCCATTCATCCACCCATCTTCCCAATTTTAAATGTTTTAATAGGAAATACATGCAGAGGACACAACATTTAAAAAGATACTACAATAGGGTGAATGGGGGAAAGTAACTCTGTTTCTTACCTTTGTTTGATTTATTTAGTTAGTTTTTTAATTTATTTTGAGAATGAGAGAGAGCACAAGCAGGGTAAGGGCAGAGAGAGAGAGAGGGAGAGAGAGAATCCCAAGCAGGCTCCATGCTGTCAGCATGGAGTCAGACATGGGACTCAAACTCATGAGCTGCGAGATAATGATCTGAGCTGAAACCAAGAGTTGAATGCTTAACCGACTGAGGTGACCAGGTGCCCCTATTTTAACCATTTAAAAATTTTTTTTTAATGTTTATTTTTGAGAGAGAGAGTGGGAGAGAGAGAGCGTGCACACACAAGTGGGGGAGGAGCAGAAACAGAGAGGGAGACACAGAATCTGAAGCAGGCTCTAGGCTCTGAGCTGTCAGCACAGAGCCCGCTGATGTGGGGCTCGAGCTCGGAAACAGTGATCACGACCTGAGCTGAAGTCAGATGCTCAACCAACTGAGACACCTAGGTGCCCCTATTTTAACCATTTTAAAGTGTACATCATTAAGTACATTCACAATGCTGTTCATACATCATCACGACCTAGTTCCAGAACTTTTTCATCATCCCAAAAGGAAACCCTGTATCTGTTAGCAATCATTTCTTATGCCCCTTCTCCCAGTTCCTGGTAAGCATTAATCAGCTGTCTCTCTACAAGGATTTGTCTATTCTGGATATTTCCTACAAGTGGAATCATACAATATATGGCTTTTTGTGGTTGGCCTTTTTTTACTTAGTATAATGTTTTCAAGGTTTATCCACCCTGTAGTACTTAATTCCTTTTTCATGGCCAAATCATATTCCATTGTATGGCTATAACACATTTTTGTCTATCCACTCATGAACTGATGGACATTTGGGTTGTTTATATCTTTTGTCTGTTGTGAATAGTGCTGCTTTGAACGTTAGTAAGTTTTTCTTTGAACACCTCTTTTCAGTTCTTTTGAGTATATGCCTAGGAATGGAATCACTGAGTCATATGGTAATTCTTGTTTAACTTTCAGTGGAAATGTCTCATTTTTTAAATCTCTCTGATGCAGGTCCCTTTGCTCTTTGCCATGGTTTGGATATCTCCTTATATCATTAGTCTTTTAAATTAGTGAGGATTAATTAATTAATACCTGGGTTAACTGATTAATATCTGGTTAATAGTCAAATCTAACAATCAGCACTGTAATAGTAGGTCGGGTTTTAGCACACATTGAACTTTAAATATAGAATACTATATAATATTGATTTTATATTATGTGTTTACTTTTAACTAATGTAGTCAATGCACTGGGCTGTCAGAGGTAAAAAAGATCTGATGCTGGAAGAATCTGACCAGGTTCATACCAACCAGATTGAAAATAAGGAACGGAACAAGCAGAGAGAAATAAAGAAAGAGAAGCTGGGTTCAACCACAGAGAAAATGGAGCAAAAAGAATCCAACTCCTTGGAGAAGTCATTCTCCCCGCAAAATCTGGATTCTCCAAGTAAGTCAAATCATGTAGCTTTGCAGACCAAGAAAGGTCTGAAATTAAAGGGCTTGGTTTATACTGTATTTATTCTCAACCTTTTCCAAGTAAACAGTAGTGCCAGATTTAAGGGTTGCTTTATCACCTTAAAATATACTTACTTAGCATTGACACAGAAACTGGAAGACACATTCCTCAACACATCCCTTTCAAGGGAAAATGTGAGGCATTTCTGGGAGTGACTGATATAACACTGCCATTTATTGAGTGTTTACTATGAACAGGAATGTTCTTTACATACATGTATTATCTTGTTTAATATTAAGTCTATAGACATTAATTTATTTAATCCTCTACAAGCCTGTGAGGTTGGTACCAACATTATTCTCATTTTACGGAAAGGAAACTGAAGTCCAGGGAGGTTGAGTAATTTTTTCAAAGCTATACAGCTTGTATATAGCAGGGAAGGGGTCTGAACTAAGACAGTTTGACTTCAGTGTCTGTTTCTAAGGCATTGCACTGTCCAGAGAAGAGACCTTATCTGTATGTAGTTCTGAATGATAGATTCACTGAAGCAGGGTATTATAGAAGCTAAACTCGCAAGCTATACTACCTAGGCTCACATCTTAGCTCTACTACTTATTATCTGTATTTCTTGGTAAAAGTTACTTAACTTCTCTAGATTTCAGTTTCCAAATCTATAAACTCAAGATCATAGTGATACCTTCTCACAGAGCTATCATGAGGATTAAATAAGGAGATCCATGTAAAATGCTTAGCACACTGATTCACCTAGCAAGCAGGTCTTGGGTTAATGTCAACTATTATTATCTTTTCTTTGTCTGTCTAGCCACCGTGTTTATCTTGTATAGGTGCGTTATAAACATGCACTGTCACTGTCCTCCGAATTCTTGATTCTCAAGGTTGTGATACAGTATCTCATTAGAATTTAAACTAGAGGCTCCTGAAGGTCCTTGAATCTTGAATCCTTACTTATAAAAGAAGATAATTAGATAGCTTGTGGTAAATTAGAGTCTTTGTAGAAATAGTCACTTGAAAACTCTCTTTGGGGAGACTTCTATATGCTCATTACCTGCTAGAATAAAGATTCTTAGGGTGTGATTCAGGTGTCTCTGCTGGTTACTCAAGATATCCTTTTGTGGACTCTGCAAATTGATTGCATCAGCCTCATAACTGGGAATGGTTATAATGTAACAAATTCATCAAAGCAGAAGCCCGAATTTCAGAAAAAACAGTGTTTTAAGCAAATACACACATACAAACACCTACCCACAGTCACACACAGGCAAAACATGCAAATGTTTCACTATTCAGCCCTGGAATGTTCAGATCTGTGCTTCTTGAACCCCTGGGGCTGCCCTGTGACTTCCTGTTTCAGATTCAGACCTAGTCTGAGTTCACCATCACTGGGGTGGGGGGGGGAGGGGCACTTTATCACCTCAGACACTCAGGCAGGAGGCTGAAGCCCCACTTGAATCCCTCTCATAAGATGCAGTGAAATTTTCTCTTCCTCTGAAAACTAGTTATTTAGATATTTAAAAACCCCAAAGTAATACCAGCTTGTCATTAGAAAAGTCAAAGAATCATATATAAACAATGACTTAGTGTCTCCCCCAGGCTCCCACCCTTCTGTGTTTTTGTTTCCTGAAGCAACCAATGCAGATGCCCAGGTGTGTCTCTTTCCACATTATTCTCAAGCGTATACAAATATGCCTTCACGTATGAGGGTTTTAAAAACAAAGAATGAGGGGTACCTGGGTGATTCAGTAGGTTAAGTGTGGGACCCTTGACTTTGGCTCAGGTCATGATCTCGTGGTTTGTGAGTTCGAACCCCACATTGGGCTCTGTGCTGACAGTGCGGAGGCTGCTTGGAATTCTGTCTCCCTCTCTCTGCCCCTCCCCTGCTTGCTCTCTCTCAAAATAAATAAAAATAAACTTAAAAAAAATGGCATTACACTGTGCCCATTTCTCTATGTTACACAGAGCCTAAGAGTACAAGCTCTGGAACCGGATCCCAGCTTTTCCACTGATGAGTTTTGTGAACTTGGGCAAGCAAATTAACCTTTCTTTATCTGTGTTTTCTTATCTATATGGTCAAAACATTAGTGTTTACTCATAAGGTTTTTTTGAGTAGTAAAAATCTATGTAAAATATTTAGACCAGGTACATGGTAGGTGCTGTTTTTGGTGTTAGCTTTTATTATTACGGGACATCTCCTTAGACCTTACATTTAGAATTAACTCATTCTTTTGAACAGCAGATAAATATTTCACAGTATAGATATGTCATAATTTATTCAAGATAAATTGTGATGTGCTCTTTTTGTGTCAGCTTTTATTATTATGGGACTTCTCCTTAAGCCTTGCATTTAGAATTAATGCATTCTTTTGAACAGGAGATAAATATTCCACAGTATAGATATATCATAATTTATTCAGGATGACTTGTGATGTCAGGTGTGGTGTGGTTTGTTTTGGCTATTTTATTATTATTTTTAATTTCCATTATACTTAACATACAATATTAGTTTCAAGTGCACAATACAGTGTGATGTCAGTTTTGATGCCCTCACATGATGAAGTGTATCCTTTCACTGTGGCTTGAGGAATGAAGGTGGGGGCCATGAGAGGAGGATAATTTTTCTGAGAAGCTGTTGTTGGAGAATAAGAATTATGAAATTTTACTAAAGGCTGCATTTGCCAGTATTTTCTTGATGCTGTTTAAGAGGTTATTGGCTGTTCTGAGTAGCACCCTAAAGCTGGAGTTTGATATATCAAAGTGCAGTTGTATGATTATTTGTAACTTTGTTTTACTGTAGTGTAAATTTTTATTAACATCAGCATTTAAGAAATGCTATTCATGTCAGCTTTAGTGAGTCCTGAGTGGTTTCTCACCTACCTCTTAAGCATATTTGTTAATTTCCTCAAGCAGTGGTTGATATTTACTTTGGAGTTTGCTTTTTGATGCCTCTTCTGTGATCAGCAGCCCTCAAATAGTCCCCATGTTATTCTGACTCTTCACTGCAACCAGTAAAATATGGAGCACAGCCTCTGAAAACTGGTGCGTGACACAACCTCACTTTTCTTTTCTTTCCATGTAAATATACAATAAATATGGCTTCTGATAAATGCAAATCTAGAATCAAATAGTTTGTGTAGCATTCTGGAGTTAGAAAAAGGGATCATATGTAGCCAATGCTGTTGGTGTGCTGCCATATTTTCTGGGCATCTAATTTCTCATTGCCATTTCTATGGTTTCTATCAGAGGGCTTTCTCTGGCACTTGAGCTGGCTTGGCAGTAAGTGCCAGGGAATAAACACCCTCTGGATGTAGCCATCAGACACTGATGAATGTGAGTGGGAAACTCCTTTACTTCTCTAACTGGAGAACTCTTAGGGGTTTTTATACTGTCTTCCAGGGGTCCCCATCGTAATCAAGCCCCAGTTGCCCAGGGTGGCAACTTGCCTGATAATGTACCTTTTATAAACTTGGTTCCTTTCTCTACTTTCCTACCAGGGTCTCTTTGAATCACCTTTCAAATTATCCACTTGCATTCAAATTCTTGTCTGGGGGGTCTATTTCTATTGGAAACCAAACTAGAAAACACTTTTTTCAAACTATAAAATAACAAGTATTTACAGTAGAAATGTGAGAAATATGGTCAAACAAAAGGTAGAAAATACAACTTCTAATATTAGCACCTAGGGACATATCTATTATTGGTCTTTTGGTATATATGTATATATATTAGTATACCTAAAACTAAGGATCATACTATATATATTTTATGTGTGTATTTCAATTATAGGTTGTCAGAAATTTTCTTTTGCTTTTTTCCTAAGAGGAATTTTTTTTTAATGTTTATTTATTTATTTTATTGTTTCTTTATTTGACAGAGAAAGAGTGTGAGCAGAGGGAGGGCAGAGAAAGAGAGACAGAGAGAGAAATCCCAAGCAGGCTTCTCGCTGTCAGCTCAGAGTCCAATGCAGGGCTTGAACCCATGAGCCCCGAGATCACGACCTGAGCAGAAATGGAGTGGGATGCTTAAGTGACTGAGCCACCCAGGCACCCCCCTATAGGAGAATTCTTAAATATGTTTTGTCTGAGAATTCTAAAGAAAGTGCAAACAGATCGTTTTCTTGGGACAACCACTGTCAACTGTCCTGTGTATATTTTTCTGACAAGATATTTAGATAGTATTTTAAAATATCAATGGAAACATTTTGTATATTATTTTGGAACCTGTTTTTTCATGGGCAATATTATAAACATAAAAAAAGACATAAGGAATATGTGTCCATTGCAGAACAATAAGAAAATACAGATTTTTTAAAAAGTGTCAAAAATGAAAATCACATGTATTCCAACTATCCAGGGATAACTATTAACACTGAGGAATAATTCCTTATAGACTTTCAAAAATTTTTACATAAATATCCATGTAATAATGAATTTAGGAATGAGATCATACTATATACATTATTTTTTAAATACCTGTCAGTTAGCAATATGTTATGAGCATTTTTCTATGACCATAAATATTAAAAAAATTGTTAATGCCAATATAAAAGGCTTTTAAACAACTTTCTATTGCTGAAGATTTAGATTGTTTCTTGATTAAAAAAATTTATAAATGGTGTCACGACAAATATCGTTATAGTTAAACCCTTGAACACATCTGTGATTATTTCCTTAGGATAAACTTCTAGAAGTAGAATTATTAGATATACACATTTTAATTAGTTTGAGAAATTTTGCCAAATTGCTTGCCAAAAGATTTTTACCAATTTACACTCCCATCAATAGAAAAGGAAAAAGGCCTTTTTTCTAGTGTTCAGCAAAGTTGCTTATTAGAATTAAAAATAATCTTACTATCATGGAGTAAATTATTTGTATTTCCAGAGATCCTTTACCATTGACCTTATACTTTTGGCAGCTGTTTGGAAGTTGTTTCCAATTTCCATGCTAGTGAATTGCCAAAATTCCCACCACTGAAGGTTTCTATAAATATCCTTTTATTAATAAGCATTTAAGCACATGAGTTTCTTTCATCCATATAAACTAATTCTTGTTGATAAGAATTCAAAAGTCGACTCTACAGATCAAAAAGAAAATGATTCAAAATAATCCAAAAGAAAAAGGGAAGGAAACTATATAAACAGTTCAGTAGAGAAAATATAGCGGCTCTTAAACATATGAAAAGAGGTTTAATCTCAACATAATTAGTGAAACGGTAACTTCTCTTAATGCACACTTTTATGAATCAGTGAGACATAAGATCAATCATCTAGTAAAAAAAGAAGGGGTGTGTGTGCCCCTGGGTGGCTCAGTCGTTAAGCATCTGACTTCAGCTCAGGTCATGATCTCGCAGTTTGTGAGCTTGAGTCCCACATCGGGTCATCTCGTGCCCTGCTTCCGGTGAACACAAGTCCCGCTTTGGGTTAGCCCCTCTTCTTTCTCTCTGTCCCTCGTGGGATTTTCTCTCTCTCTCTGCCTCTTGCTCACTTGCACCCTCTCTCTCTCTCTCAAAAAATAAATAAATAAATAAATAAATAAATAAATAAATAAATATCAAAAAAAAAAAAAAGGAAAGAAAGGAAATGAACATTTCATAGAACAGAAAATACAAATAGCCTTGGAACATATGAAAAGGTGCCTAAACTCATTCATAGTAAGAGAAAGGCAAATTAAAACTGCACTTTTTGTACGCAAGAGCCTAGCAAAAGTTGCTGAGTTTGTTCACATGGTGTTAATGAAGGTGTAGGAAAATCAGCTGCTGCTGGGTGAAACTTTATGGAGAACCGTTTGGCAATGTCTATTAAAACTACAGATGCATGATGACTTTGACCCAGTAATCCCAGTTCTACAAATTTTATCCTACAGATCACCCATGTGCAAAATGACATGTGTACTATGTTATTCACTGCAGAATCGCAAATAAATGCCCCTCAGTAGGGTTGTGTTTTTGTATGTCACAGAATAAAATACCCCTCCACTGTTAGAATGAGAAAGCTCTCCATATACTGATAAAAAACAATCATCAAGATATGTTAGAAACAAAAAGTCAAAATGCTGAATAGTAGACTGTATGTTAGCATTTAGGTTAAAGAAGGAGTAGGGCGGTGATGTTGGAGATTGTATGCATGTATTTGCTTGAATATACCTCGACTATCTCTGGAAAAATATGTAGGCAATTGGTAACAGCTTTGTCTATTGGAAACATCAGAGTGGAGGGTGGAAGACTTTTGAGGGTTATGTAATCTTTGTGCTTTTTGAACTTTAGCCATGTGAATATACCACCAATTCAAAAATAAATACAATTGTATTAAACAATTTTTAAAATGTTTTATTTATTTTTGAGAGAGAGAGAGAGAGAGAGAGAGAACAAGCATGTGTGGGGAGGGGCAGATTGAGAGGAAGACAGAATCCGAAGCAGGCTCTAGGCTCTGAGCTGTCAGCACAGAGTTCGATGCAGGGCTGAAACCCATGAACTGTGAGATCATGACCTGAGCTGAAGTTGGACGCTTAACGGACTGAGCCACCCAGGTGCCCCATAAAAAAATAAATAAAATGTTAAAATAAATAAAAATAAAAATAGGGGAAAAAGAAATCTGGGATCTATTCTTCATTTTACCATTACTTTTTGTGACCCACAGACAATTTTCTTTTTTTCTTTTGGTGGGGTCTCCCCATATATGATATATAAATAAATGAATATTTAGTATCAGATATTCACAAAGACTTTTATAGAAAAATAAGCAGCATAAAGGGACAGGGAGGGATGGAGGTAGGGGCAGGGTACTGTTTTGGATCAAGTTGTCAGAGAAGGTAGTTCCTCAGAAATCCCGAATCAGGCTCCACCCCAGACACCTGGAATCAGAATCTCCAATATAACAAGATCCCCAGATAATTACCATGCATATGGAAGATTGAGAGACACCTTGCTCTAGCTAATTCCTACTCATGGTTATTTTGTTTTAAAAAAATTTTTTTTTACATTTATTTATTTATTTATTTATTTTTTTAATTTTTTTTTCAACGTTTTTAATTTTATTTTTGGGACAGAGAGAGACAGAGCATGAACGGGGGAGGGGCAGAGAGAGAGGGAGACACAGAATCGGAAACAGGTTCCAGGCTCCGAGCCATCAGCCCAGAGCCTGACGCGGGGCTCGAACTCACGGAGCGCGAGATCGTGACCTGGCTGAAGTCGGACGCTTAACCGACTGCGCCACCCAGGCGCCCCTACATTTATTTATTTTTGAGAAACAGAGTGAGACAAAGTGTGAGCGGGGTGGGGGGGTGAGCGCAGAGAGAGAAGGAGACACAGAATCCGAAGCAGGCTCCAGGCTCTGAGCTGTCAGCACAGAGCCTGATGTGGGGCTCGAACTCACGAACTGTGAGATCATGACCTGAGCCAAAGTCGGACGCTCAACCGACTGAGCCACCCAGGCGCCCCAAATCATGGTTACTTTGCATGTGAATTCCAGAAGTCTTCTCTCACTCTAACTTTGTTCTACTTAGTCCACACTGAATGCCTTTCTCTGGTCTCCCATTCTCCTGTGTTTCCCTCCATATATATATGTTTATTTATTTATTTTGAGAGAAGAAGGGAGGGGCAAAGAGAAGAGGGAGAGAGAGAATCCCAGCCAGAGATCCCAACCGTGAGATAATGATCTGAGCTGAAATCAAGAGTCAGCTGCTTAACTGATTGAGCCGCCCAGGCGCCCCTCCCTCCATATATTTTGCCACATTAATAATTTTCTGGATTTTTTTTATTACCACCGCCAGGAGATATGTACTGGAGTCTCACAGTACCCAGCATAGAGCCTGGAAATATGTAACAGGTGCTAAATAAATATTTCTATAGCAAATAAAGAAATGAGTGGATGAACCAAGCCAAATAAAAGTGTGTGGGGAGGGAAAAAAAATTCAAAAGTCTGCTTAAGATAATCCATTTCAGGGGCGCCTGGATGATTCAGTCAATTAAGCAGCCAATTCTTGATTTCATCTCGGGTCATGATCTCATGATTCATGGGTTTGAGCCCCGAATTGGGTTCAGCACTGTGAGCACAGAGCTCAGATTTGGTCTCCCTCTATCTGCCCCTCTCCCACTTGTACTGTCTCTCGGTCTCAACTCTCAAATAAATAAATAAATGCAAAAAAAATAAAGGAAAGATAATCTGTTTCTGTAAGATACTAATAATTCATATTAAATACTTACCCTTGCATTTTATTTATTGCAGTGAAATCTTATCAGCAAGCTGTTTTACTATGACCCTGTGGGTTTTCTATTCCTACTTCTCTGATTTTAAAATCTTCTTTTCTGTGCTTTAAAGTCTTTTCAGATGTGAACTCTTGGCACCTTCGTTTCCGCTGGTCTGGGGACGCTCCCTCAGAACTCCTGAGGAAATTCAGAAATTATGAAATATGAAAAGTGCTCGGTAGGAGAGAGAGAGCAAGACCATCTCCCGTGCTGCCAACAAGTCTTTGTTTGAATCTTAAAAACGTTATGTTTCTCTGTCATGTTTGTGAATTGCTCAGTACCGATTGATTCCTCCATCCTTGAACCCCTTCTAACAAAATGTGTGTTTTAAATGAGAACATTTTCAGACTAGTCTCTTTCAATATTTGAATAGATTAAAGCTCTTAGATCCAAAGTAGCTTGTTGTGAATCTTCCTGTTAATGTTGTAGAAAATCTATTTTAAAAAGATATCTCTGTATTTAAATAATTCATTAATATACCACGATCCCTATTAGTGCTGTATGTACAAGAAATGCTTTCTGACTCTTGGGGCACCTGGGTGGATCTGTTGGTTAAGCAAACAACTCTTGACTTTGTCTCACGTCATGATCTCAGGGTCGTGGAGTCTGCTTAAGATTCTCTTTCCCTCTGTCTCTGCCCCTCCCCTGCTCACTCTCTCTCTCAAAATAAAATATAAATAAAATTTATTTTTAAAAAAGGAAATGTTTTCTGACTCTTGACTTTAAATGGAATGTCTAAACTCCACAGAGCGAAATAAATAATTTTCCCAAAATTCATGATGAATTTATAATTCAACAGTATTTTGAAAATAATTTGATTAGATATTTCTATTTTAATTTTAATAATTGTAAATTTAAAAGGTTATTATTTATTTGAGGAAATATGCTTTACAAGATTTCTTTTGTTATACACCAAGTGATACATTTATAAATTATGTTCTAACAATGTGAATGGGCCTGTTAGGTGACATATCCTTTTTAGATTGGGATTGTTGATGGTCATGTGTAGTCTATGGTTAGTTTTTAGTTTGCAAACAAGCAAATGAAAAATTAAGAAGAAAAACAATTTTAGAGTAAACTAGAGGTGTCACTGGTCTGTAGCAAAATGACAGAAAAAAAAAGAATATAGGAAGTTTTAAAACAATTTTTTTTTAAGTTTATTTATTTATTTCGAGAGAAACAGAGACAGCATGAGTGGGGTAGGGGCAGAGAGAGGAAGACAGAATCCCACCGCACTGACAGTGCAGAGTCCAACTTGAGGCTTGAACTCACAAAATCATGAGATCATGACCTGAGCCGAAACCTAGAGTTGGATGTTTAACTGACTGAGCCACCCATGTGCCCCAGGAAGTTTTTTTTTTTTTTTAAATTAAAGCCACATAATTCAGAAATTATGTCCTTTGTGGTTTAAAATGTGCTTCCTTTTATGAAATAGTATCATAGTAGACTGTATTAGTTTACAAGGGCTGCCATAACAACATACCACAGACTGAGTGGCTTAAACAACATATCTCATAGTTCTGGAGGCTAGATGCCCAACATCAAGGTGTCTGCAGGTTTGATTTTTTTCTGAGGCCTCTCTTCTTGGCTGATGCCTTCTCCAGGTGTCCTCACATGACCTTCCTCTGTGAACACACATCCCTGGTATCTCTGCTTCCTCTTCCTAATCCAGTCATATTGGATTAGGGCTCCACCCTAACAGCTTCCTTTTAACACACTTCAACTCTTTAAAGACCTTATCTCCAAATAAGGTTATATTCTAAGGTAGTGGGGATTAGGACCTCAACATACAGGTTTTGGGGGGAATACAATTTAGTCCATAACAGAAGAAAACTTTTTTTTAAAAACAAATATAGGGGTGTCTGGGTGGCCCAGTTAGTTGAGTGTCCAGCTCTTGATTTTGGCTCAGATCATGATCTCACAGTAGTGAGATGGAGCCTCAAGTTGGGCTCTGTGCCAGGCATGGATCCTGCTTGATTCTCTCTCTCCCTCTCCCTCTGCCCTTCTCCTGCTTGTGCATGCTCTCTCTGTCAAAACAAAACAAAACAAACAAAACAAAACAAAACAAAACAGAAGTATTAAAAAAAATTTTTTTATTACATTTATTTATTTTTGAGAGACAGAGACAGAGCACAAGCAGGGGAGGGGCAGAAGGAGAAGGAGACACAGAA